GCTTCGCCTCATGGGCTATTGACCCGTAGCCCTTGCGGGCTACGGGTCTAATTGTTAAATAGACCTCTACATTACCGAGGTGTTTCTCAGTTAGGACCTGAAGCAGTAAGTTTTATAAGTTCGCATGTCATTCGAAAGCGAAGTAAACTTTATCTGCAATTGACCTTTGATTTTTTGTTTTCATTTACTCAAAAAGAAGTTTGCAAAGTACCATAACCAGACGAAAACAAATAATGCAACAGCGAAGACTTTATTCCTCGATCGTAACAACCGAGATAACAATAAGCTAAACAAATTAATAATACCCCAGAATTAGCATCTATCATCACAGACTGATGGCCATTTTTTTTATAAGCAGAACTGTTTCTCATTTTTGCGGCAATGGAGGAAGAGGGGGAGGAGCAGAACCTCCCGGGAGCCCTGGAAGAGATGGCGGGAGCGAAGCGCTTGGTGTGGTCAAATTATCACCTCCTTCTCTTCCCTCGACATTGCCAGTAAGAAAGTTGACCCACGGCAGATATCTCTTAATGTTTGCGTAGACACCGTATTTCAGAGCCCTGGCGCATCCCTTTCCCCAGGAGGTAGCACCGACTTGAATCCACTGCCGAGGGTTCACTGGGTTCTTACACACTAGTGGTCCGCCGGAGTCACCTTGACAGCTGTCTACACCCCCCTGACGCAACCCTGCGCAGATCATATTCTTAGTTATTTTCTCTCCGTATGATTGGTTGTGACTGCACGCTTCGCGATCCACTATAGGTACCTTTGCCTGCATGAGAGCAGCGGAGGATTTACCACCTTCCTGAGTGGTACCCCAGCCGGTAATTGTACATTCTGTTCCGGGGGGAAACTGATACTCAGGCTCGGGTAGACAGATCGTGTTCACGCGACCATTGAGTGTGGCAGGTCGGTCGAGGCGTATCATTGCCAGGTCGTTATCAGTTGTGTGGTGATCCCATTTTGGATGAATGTAGAGATCTTGAATTGCGAAATCCTGCTCTGTTCCCTCGGTCTTATTCAAGAAGTGCTCGCCTGTCGTTACAAACATACAGTGGGGATTTGATTACGGGTACTACTTTTCAATTTTAGTTTACATGCTTCATGAGCTACCCTCTCTACCTAAAACTAACATGAAGAGCGATGGCTCTGGAAACGTCGCTGCTTTGAAACTAGAAAATTTCACTCGTATACTCTATACCGTACTCGTAGTTCAATCTAAAGGTCTCTAACATAAGCCGGCAAATAATCACTGCCGGGAAGTGTTATGGGTTTTTAGTCTTAGTATATGTTGAAGTTTTTATCTAGCGTTAATGATTTCAGGGTAATTTCAGTTGCGCTCAATCAATCAATCAATCAATCAATCAATCAATCATTCAACCTTTATTTTAAAACGATAGTTTTCAAAGCCAAAAGGCTTGTGGGGTCGTTTAACAAAGATCTAATGTGCTAATGGACTCATAAAAATTTACAATTTATCTGAAACCTAAGATATATTCAATAGGTACTAAATTTAATTAACTTCATGCGGATTACTATATTTTGAGGGTCAATCTTATAAGTGTTACGAATAAATTAAATCTTCCGATCTAAAAGTGCATGTAGACGTAGATGTCACTCTGAATGTAAAATTATTAAAATTATCTAGTGATTTCAGTTTCCGCTTGAGTCTCCTATAACAGGAGAAGCCCGGAGAAGCTGACTAATTCGCGATGTTTGCTTGTCAAGAGCAGCGCACCTCTGTACGCGAGGGAGTCTTTCATGTAGCGAGTGTTGAAGCGCTGGATGGATAATGAATCTGGTGCTCGTAACGTATATCCTACAGGCCGTTTCTATATGATGTGATTAGTTACAGAGTCTGGTAAGCCAACTGGGAACTAATCACTTTGTGAGTTCGTAATAGATATACCCGTAGCTTGTGAACGATGCAAGTGAATATATAAAAGAACTCAAATTTGAACTGCGTTGAAATCTATAAAGGCACGACCAAAATAACTGAGTGAATTTACACAACTTGCAACTGATTAAGTTATGGGCATAAGGGAAGGGGGGGGGGATGAGTGTTACTGCCTTTAATTTACTCCTCGCTTAAGATATGAAAAGTCTTGAAAATGAGTTCGAAAAAATCCTGAATATTGTTCACAGTTCCTATAGTTGTAATAAACTAATATCATATTAAACCTACCAAGTCTGATGAACATCATTCTCTTATCTTTGGTGATATCAAAACAATGAGCTGCCGTTAGAACCCATTCAGGATCTACTAAAGAGCCACCGCAGAACTGTTTGCCCTTGTCGTAACCCTTTGCCCACAACATGGCAGCCTGCCACGGCCATGCCCCTGGCTTTGCGACGATACCTCCAACAATTCGTGTGCCTGTCTTGCTTGTACCACATAACTGCACACCTAACATAGAGTAAATGACATTCCTAAGATTCTACAAGTGTTTGAGTTGTTCAAGTCATTGGAAAAGGCATTCTCAAATTATTAAAAATCAAACAAGTTTTAACGAGGGAAATCACGATAGTGACGGTGTTTGGATATCCGATCTTACTTAACAGAAATTTTTCACGATTTTTTCTCTTAAGTTTTAGATTTGATCAGAGAAGATATATCAAACGGCTTAAGAAAGTCTTTGACATAATTTTCAAGCACTTCCAAGCTCGTCAAAAATACTCCGCTACGTCCTTTTTTTTTTAATTCCCCATTTCCATATTTGGAAATGTGGTCAAACACAGTCTGTCGTGTTTTATGTATGACTTTTTGTTCCTGCGAATGCCTGTCGTCCGCTGAGACGGCCAAACGAAAGACTGCCAAATTTGTTCCATTCGGACTATTTTAATGCACCCTTAAAATCAGGCTTCCACCAATTGATATTCAATCAGTAGTGCCAGTTTTTCGAGCAATCGTAACAGAGCACGGACTGAAAACAGTGCTGCGTTTTCGTTTCGTTCAATTTCGTATCGTGGAAACAACTTCACCTCCGTCTTTATACCTCTCGAGGAACTTGTGTAACTAAATCACATGAGTCTCTAACTTTTTGCAGTATGATACCTATAATTGGATATCAACGCCATTCGTACGTCAATTACGCTCGCTTTTTAGAATTATATTACTCTCGGATTACTCCCAGAATTGCACGACACGAAGTCCAATTGCGATTACTTTACATTACTACATGTGATTGTCTTTATCAGCTCTACACTCTTTATTGAATTGCATTCTCCTTGACTACAACGGTTTAAAGATACAGTTTGAGCTGCATCGTATTGCAGGTAAACCTGAAGAATACAAAACCAACCGGCAGAGAATTTCTCACAGACTGAAGCCTGGTTTACAGTTGTGAGATAAGTGTGTTAGCACCCCGGGGGCTGGGGGGTACTCCCTTATATGGGCTATATAGGTATGTGCAGACGGAAAGGATATGGTTTTTCAGCCGTTTTGGTCGTAAATAGGGTATCGATTTGGCCATTTTTGTCTTAAATAAGTTATGGTTTTGGTACTCTAGTCTTGAATTGGGTATGTTTTTTTAGAAGAAGCTACTCTTTCATCATTATCAATAAGACCGTAAACAAAAGTACGTCAAAAATTATGTTTAGGGCAACTGTGTCAGCCGCAACGGTCATGAATAGGGTATCGAATTTTTGGTCTGGCCATAGATAGGGTAGGGAAAAGTCGCAGATTTTAGTCGTAAATAGGATAAGGGTTTTGGGAAGCGGACCGCACACCCCTACCAAATTTTTCTGGGAGTACTCCCTCCCCCCGGGGTTAGCACAAGCATAAGCTGTGAAAATTTACATGCTTGGGATTATCACTAAAGTGATGAACAGGCTCTGGGGTTTTCCTACCTGAATTTCCTCCTAAATGCTGGCTTGTCCAAGATGCTTTGAACCCTGCTCCTGTGTCGGACTCATCTGAAAAAAGTTTGATGTACAGAGATGTCCCCTGCGCAGTCACTTCAGCCGGGGGGGTTGAGCCACAAAAACGACCTGAAAATAAAATGCAGGACGATATTGCCTTGTATTATCTATGCGGAAAAGGAATGAGCTATCTTTGAGCTTCACAAAGTATCCATAAAATCAACCTTGTTAACAAAGTGATGTTATATTTTTAGTACGTCAACAGAGCCCTTTTTATTCTTCGCCTTTGAAGTGTGACGTTCTGCATAGATGGTCAAATGGCAAAAATGAATCTGACTTTAATCGTGTTTTTTTTAAGTCTCTTGAATTCAAAACGTACGCCTGCGAAAAATGTCTGTAACTGTTTACAAACAATTGTTTATTTATTGACAAAAGGCTCAGGCGCTTTAATAGTCGTGAAGAAAATAAATTAATCACACGAAACTAACCAATCAGTGTTGAAGAATCCGTGGCACCATCTCTGATTTCCACATAATCGTACTTGCATTTGGAACTTTCCTCCACACCAAATGCGTCAAACGTCAAAGTGAGAGAGTGAGTGACTGGTACGGTTACAATCCATTCGCATTCAATATTGGCCGGGTATGGTTCAGGATATCTGGGAGTCTGGAAACTGCCTTCTTCGTCAGTGAACGTTCCTCCGCATTCTATAACAGGAAAAAAATCATCAATCACCATATTGTAGAAGAGTTAGACCTACATTTTCCAGAACTTGTGAAATAATTTTTTTGACATTTGTTCTTCACGATTGAAAACATATCTTTTTAAAAGCGTTTAGGACTGTTTATAATTTTAGTTACTCTTAGTTACATAAGCCGTTTTTCTATTTTTGTGTTTTTAGCACATTTCATGCTTTTTATAGATCTTTGTTTTAGTTTATTAGCCTCTTTTTACGCAAAGCGCTTTTGAATATTTCATAGTATTAGCGCTATATAAATGTATTATTATTATTATTATTATTATTATTATTATTGTTGTTGTTGTTGTTATAATAATCTCAAACCTCGCTATTACTTGGTCAATAAGTCTCGGTTTGAGATTTTCCCGTAAAGACCTCGCTCTCGGTTAATAAGTAGTTATTAAATCCTCCGAATTCTAACTGTAAGAAAAAAAAATGCAAGAAAAAAAGGAAGATTTTGATTTTGACCGTGAAACTTGTGCCATAAGAAATCATTTTCTTTATCGCGTAAAGTTTGTGCGGATTCTTTCTTATGGTATCCCTCTGTTACGTTAACGAGTGGCATATATTTTCTTGTATGCCAAATTTTCTATAAAGATTTTCGAATAAAATGGCCGTACACTAGGACGACCTAAATTAAACGAAGAAACGATTCCACCAGATCAACGGAAAGCTACCTTCCCTTGAGATTTGAAGTACTTACATTCGTGTCTGTACTTACGGATGTCATTGGATACCGCTCGCCAAATTGCTTGGAATCCTTTTCCGGTATCGCCATCATCTGACGTCAGAGTTAAATATAACGAGTTCCCGGACGAGCGAATAAGAGATGGAATTGTAGAACCACAGAATGTTCCAAGCTCAGGAGACTTGGACTGACATGAGAAGAAAATAAGTACGATGAATTCAATATTCTGGCTACAGTACACAAAATTAAACTGTTTAATAGGCTATTTCCGAATTACCTAAGTCTTTTTCTCAAAGCGAGGTTTGCTGCCCACCTTTAATATGAAATGAGATTTCATTGATATGCAAATTAAACTCATTTTCATATGAATGGTAGTGCACCAGACCTCGCTTTGAAAGAGAGGCTTAGTGCACCTTGAAAATAGGCTATGAAGGCTGCTTCCGAAGGTTTACACTGTATTCCCTTGAAAGTTTTCGTGAACTTACTTAGTATAAAATTAAGGCTTACAATTTCTGGATGAGCCAATAAGTGAGCTAATGCTTAGTGTCTTTCGGTTATTCAATGTCGTTGACATACAGGTTTTGTTTCAGTAGGTGAAATATGGCGTATTTATTAGTGTACAACAAAAATTACCGTTGATCCATCTAAAATTTCCAGACTGTCATATTTACATTTGCTGCTTTGTTCGATGTCAAGAGAGTTAATCTCCAGCTCAATAACTTGTGACGGCTTCACTGATATCACCCACACACATGTCACGTCAGTAGGATAAGGTCTTGGATAATTGGGTGACGTCACCGTACCATTTGACCCAGTCAGTGTAGTGCCGCAGTCTAGTCAAGTACAGCATCAAAAGAAATGGAGAGAGATAACAGGACACAATTAATAATTCATTTTTATGACCATTTTGGGTAGCTGATTTACTTGAACCTTGAACCTTGAAACTTTATTGCACACTCCCAAATATAGGTTTTTCCGTGAACAATACAATATAAATACAATAAAAAATGCAATAAAATTACAATGAATTAAAAAGTGTAAACACTAGTCTTGTTTCAAAACGCGTTAAGCATCTTTGTTTTAAGATTCTTTTTAAAGTTTACTAAACCTTTGCACAATTTAAAATCTTTATCTAATGAATTTCATAAGTTTACAATCCTTTATTGAAATGTCCTCTGACCATCAGCAGTTTTACATAAAGGAATGTTAATATAAGTTGCTGTGAGTTTCTTGTCTTGCGGTC